GCTTTGGCGACTGCGGGGTCATCCAGAACCAGAGTGCTGTCTTGAAGGCAACCACAGGGTCCGTAGCTACGAGGTCCGGATTGTTCAACAGGTCCAGCCCTAGAGCTCTTCCACACTGCCCGTAATTATAGTTCCTAAAGAAATTGTCGTAATTCTAGTTAGTGTAGTCAAAAAACTTTCGTGGGAAATTCAATTTATTAACCTGCAAAGCGAATTTGTTTAGTGCTTAACACAAAAAGAAGAAAAAAGGTATAATTACTGATTTTCAAATATTTGTTATCATTAATTGACTCAGGCATCTTAATTTTGATATCCATACATTGCTTAAAACCAACTTGTATATTTTTATCTAGCAAAAAAAAAAAAAAACTTGTATATTTTTAGTACACGACGATTTTTATTTATTTAAAAGGTCATTAATTGGTGATGATTATCACCCAAGAATAAATCAATCAAAACAAAAAGTTCCAAGCTTACAAAGTGGTGGGCCCTTATTTCGGCCCCAATATATGGGGTCCACTCCATAACTTTGCTTGTTGCCCGGTAATTTTAACCCTAATGGCCATGCTCTTTCTCAAATAAAGTCATGATTCATTATTAGTGCGTACCAGGTAAGTTGAATGGGACCACGGCCGTAATATTGCCTTCCGGAAGCACAAGGGTAAGTTTGACTCCAAGAACAGTATGTTGCTTGGTTTTGCTCTCTGACGTAGCAGTATCCCCACGCGTATTTACCATCAGGAGCACCATCCCATCCACCTATACGTACAAACATAATGTATTCATATTATATATATATATATATCTATATATGTGGTAGTCAACCATATTACTTATAAACAGTACTTAATTCATGCAAATAAATTAAATAGATTAAGCAGTTATAGTACACACAAGTTTATACATAACATAATAAAGGAGGCTAGAGGTATAAAAGAGCAAGGAAAAACGAGCTAGAACGTCTACATATACATACATATATATGATTCGAAGTATACAAACCGGTAGTTTCATGGGAAGTTTGGCCAAGAAAAGCAGCAATCTCCCTTTTGCGTGTGGCATCGTCGCCGGTAGTGCCAAATCCAGGGAAGGCCTTTGTAGCTGCAATGAAAGCATCATAGGTATAAAAGTTCCTGGCGGGGCAAGCTCCGTCATTACGATGTTTAAGCAGCTGGTCAAAGGTGGATCTTGAAATGATACTACCAGGGTCCCCCCCGCCCCCGCCGCCGCCGCCTCCACCTCCGCTTCCGCTGCATTGGCTTTGACAACCGTTGGTGCAGTGGTCAGGTGTGTCGCCACACCACCCCCATTTGCTGCAGCATAATCCTCCTGGGCATAGAGCACCCCCAGCTTGCTGACCACATTGCTCCGCTGAGCCTTTTTGTATGGCCAACAGAAACAGGGAAAAAATGGATAAGATCCAAAAGTACTTCATTTTTATTTTGTGATCTGGAGTGGTTATTTTGTTGATGTTTGAGAATGAACAGCTGGTGACTATATATATAGAGAGAGCAGCCGGGTGTACGAGAATTCTTGTGGTACATTATTTTTTCCCAAAAGAACTGATCTTTTAGTACTTGATAACTTCATTGAGATTATAATTACTCTAAGGGGGTTTGCTGGTTTAATATTTCCACGTTTTTTTATCTAATTATACCTTATTTTTCTGTCTTTGTTTTTGGTCAATTAGTAAAGCTTTCACAGATTAGAGCTATACCATACGATATGATCATTATCTCCACCCATCTTTACACGACGGCTAGTTGAAAAACATATTTTTCACCAATTGTGAATTGTGATATATTATTTGAAATTTTCCTTTAATTATTAAAGGGCCTGGTTGTAGTCCCCCACTTTGTAAATGACATGTCCTCATGTGCCATCATAACTCGCTAAAAAAGTAGCATAATTCTCTTGTATTAAGATGTAATAGTTATTATTTTGAGAACTATAAGTCATTTTAAAGTGTTTGACAATAAATATTTGTTAGACACATCTAGCATGAATAATTATATGAATAATATTGAAAGACCTTTCATATTATGTTTAAAAATGACTTCTGATTTTCAGAATAGTAACTGTTATGATTCAATACAAGAGAATTACGTCAATCTTTTAGTCAATTACAATTGGGGACCAAAAAAGTGTTGTCGGTCCATAGAAAGGACCATTATTAAAAAGAAAAAAAAAACTTTGAATTGTGATATATTATTTGAAATTTTCCTTTAATTATTAAAGGGCCTGGTTGTAGTCTCTTACTTTACAAATGACTGGACCTGTCCCCCATGTGCCATCCTAACCGGCTAAAAAAGTAACATAATTATCTTATATTAAGTTTTAACAGTTATTATTTTGAGAACCGTAAGTCATTTTAAAGCATATGACAATAAACATTTGTTAAACACATCAGGCATGAATAATTATATGAATAATATTGAAAGACTTTTCATATTATGTTTAAAAATGACTTCTAATTTCCAGAATAGTAATTATTACGATTCAGTATAAAGAATTACGTTAATCTTTTAGTCAATTACGATTGGGGAGCAAAAAAGTGTGGTCGGTCCACAGAAAGGGCCATTATTAAAAAGGAAAAAAAAGAAACTTTGTTGAATGTTCAAGTTTCAAAATAAGATAAGGAGGCGGCCTCTTGTGCAGCTTTTTATAAGGATGCTTTCATTATTATGATTGGTTGCATAATATTTGAGATCTTAAATTTTTTGAAGTCCTGTACCCCTCTCTATAATTTGCCACAATAAAATAAGTTTTTTTTTAATTAATTTGGAAAGTGTCGTACGCAGCTGCTAAAACATATATAACACACTAGAAGACCAAAAAAGATAAAAAAAAATCCTCCTATATGAGATAATCCTTTCCAAATAGAAGATCAAGAGAAAGTGAATTCTCCAGAAATATGTTACCTCATACGGAAGCTGTATTCGGTTATAAAGTTACGTGAATATGACTCGATAAACTTTAATTATAACTCAAAAATTATTTTGATATCTTCTGGCGAATAATACTCTCTGAAATGGATAAGAAGGAACAAAGGAAAGGCAGGATTAGGATTATGCTTGTACGTGGAAAGTGAAAAATCATTCCGTAATGGCGGATGTCAGTACAACAATTTTGAACGTCCACTTACCACTTAGAGATCTTTAATGGAAACAATGCTAAATTTTTATACCAATGCCAAAATTTGATAATTGATGATTGAGTAAGAAAACCATTCTCTAATACAATAATGAATTAATAATGTCCAATTCGATATATGCTTTATTTAATGTCAAATTTAGCGTCGAGTTTAATTACTTAGGGCCGGTTTAATTCCCTGATTGAAGTTGAGATGTGACTTTATGTGAAACCTTTTTACTGTAGTAAAAAAGTTAATTGTGATTGTTTTTTAGAGCTTTTTACTGTAGTAAAACTCGAATCGGTAAAATGAACGGAATCTTACTTATTAATGTGTTTACTTTTCCATGTTATAATTACAGAATTAATGTCATTTTTTAATCATTTAAGAATTGAAATAGATTTAATAAGTAAAATAGATTTATGTATTGAAACACAAAATAAAACAACATATCAAATGTGTGCTTCTTTTACTCTTTTTTTTTTTTTTTTTTTTTGCATATATTTGGCATTTGATTTTTGAACTTGTATTTTGAGATTGTATTACAGGAATGTAAATTAAAATCAGAAAATCCTTCTATTACACTTGAAAGATATATTGCCCTTTCCCTACATTCTTAGCTAACAAACAGTTTTTGCAAGTGAAAAAAATAGCATAAGTTGCTGGCTACCAATGATAACTCAAGTTCGGCAAAACTGATTTTCATCCCATTAATCTCTTCATAGCTAGTGCTCTGACGATATTGTTAACAACAGATATAAGATAACTACGCAAATGATTGATATTGTACCATAATTTACTATTTAGTGAATAATATCTGGTGTTAAACTTAAACTACTTGACTAGAGTTATAGCTTGAAAAATATAGATTTGTCTTTCTTACGGCTGTTGTTGAACAGGAAAGCCAGTAAGACAAACAACCTTACGGATCTGTATGACATGGGTTGAAGAAAAATAGTCTACTGGCTGTGAGGTTTATTATTTGTATCGTCAAATGTCAATTTGTTCATTTTGAGTAGTGATTAAAGTGTGTTCCCTGAGACAACTGGAATCTTGACAGTTTTAATATGCATTACTGATTCGCTTTAAGTCCCTTATTGTGATTAATTTGTCACACCAGAGTTTTATTTTATTAAAAGAGAAGTATTTTATCTTGTTAAAAGTGCATCCGATTTAATTTATGGCTTCTTTCCAGTTTAAATATTCAATTAGTATTAATTTGTGAAACTAATTAATGTCCTCACGATTATTGTCTTACACAAAGAGTTGAGAGGTGTGTAATTGTTTTCCTTGTAAAATTATTTATCGTCATAATAAATTATTGGCAGCGGCTGAGAGAGCACATAATCTCACATTGAGGTAAATCTCTACATATTTTGTATGTGCACTTTGTTTGATTTCTTTATGCTATTTTAGTACATGACTTCTAATGTAGAATTATGGAGTCTAATTCTTAACAATATTTAGCTCCTATATATCTGCGAAACTAGATTCGTGATTAATCGGCTCATATGGTGTCCTGTATGTTCACAATTTTAATTAATTTAAACTATATAATCAACCTTTTGAAAAGTTTAAGAATTATATTACAATTAATTTCAAAAAAGTCTTAAGAAATTATTTTTGCAGACTCCATTCAAGATAAATGAGTCATCCATGGTTTTTTTATCTTAGTAAAGATTTTCATAAGAATAAAGAAATTGTCTTTAGCGCTGAATTTAGATACTTGGAAACAAGCAAGAAAATTGAAGAATATATGGGAGAAAATATTTCATTCTATGTGTGAATGTATCTCATTGATGTACAAGAACGAAAAGCTGGTTCCCAGGCTTTTCTGGAGTTAAGAACTATTTATAGTACTAATCAGCTAATGATTGAGAATATTGAGCAAAGAAACTCTGGTTTTGATCAGACTCCTGTAAAGGTTCTCAACTCCTTCTTCTAGATCTTGAATGCACATCTCCAATTTCTGAAGCTCGTTTTGCGCATTCTCTGCAAGCGTGTTGTCTGATTTCTTCATCTTGTAGCTCATCAGTAAGTTCAATCCAGCATCCGCGCCTGCAAATTCGTTTGATTCCTTGACTTCCGCGCAAGACACTTTTTTAGAGTTCATCAACTTGGAAACCAGTGACCAGCTTCTCGACTTTGGCCCGGAGATGAAGGAAAACAATGATTCGAAAACTGTTTGATTGAACCTCTCTCAACACGCTAAGAATTTCTTCATCCTTGTTAAGGACACCGAAGGCGCATTTGTTTCCCATGGCCTTTCGGAGTGCCTTCCTCACCACTTTCCTGGAGTTCAACAAGAATTTCTTGACCTCACTCGATAGACTTGATTCACCACCATGTCTCCTGCGAATAATTGATCGAAGTTCTTGTGTGGATTCCCCTGTTTGCTGCAAGGCATCCTTGGCTGTGTTGCATATATCCAAGAGTCTAAGAGATCCATCCAAAAGCTCATCAACCAATTTCTCCTTTTGCTGTTTGGACAAGGCTGCTTGGTTAAGTGGTAATAGAAGCAACTTGTCAAGACAATCATGCAGATCTTGAAGTCCGCTAAGTTTGCCGCTTAGCGATGTTGATGAAGAAGAGGCGTCTTCGGAAGATCTCAATCTGGACAACTGTGCATCAAATTCGGGAACGAGAGGGTGTTGCCTAGAAGGCAAGCTATTGGAGCGAGTGTGGTAAGCTGCCATTCTTAGATTCAGTCTAGAATTCGGAGCTCGCTATAGTTGATGAATGTTGTATTGAGTCTAGAATTTGCCTGCTCTCATTTGGCATTTGCTATCTCTATATGTATTGATAGGAGGTAAGGGAGACAAGGGGAATCTCATCCTCCTCAATACACAATGAGGGTAACATGATTAACTGTGACTTTTTTTTTTTTTTGGTTGGGTACGTACGTAAAAAACATGATTGTAAGTTGTGACTTAGATCTAAACATACAATGGTAATGATTAATGCTGTGTCTCCCCACCAACAGGTACGGATCTTTTTGTTTTCTTTTTGTGTTTTGGTGAAGCACAAGGTACGGATCTTATTACCAACAATATTAGAATTTATATTCAGTCATATACTTTATTTATCATACATTGCAGAACAAGAATTAAAATTGCAATACACGGGTGGCAATGACAGCGAATAGTACAAGATGTGGAAATCTCCATTATATTCGGATCGGCACACCCTTAGATGAGACAAATTGCAACAGCCTTCGTGGCAAATTGGAAGTGCATAATATAAATCGCAGAGGTTTTCAAAAAAAAAAAGTGTAGGGTTAAAAAATCATTCTGACACATAAAGCAGTATTTTGATTTAGCATAACTAATAATAACCAATAAAAGATCTCCAACATAGTGCAAAATGAATGTGGTAATATTAAATTTTGACAGTTAGATGAGAAAATCACCTTTCAATGCATTGTTATCATTGATGTGAAATTTGACATACGCTGTATTTAGTGCTAAATTTAGCAGCAAGAGTTAAGCACCAAGTATAACACACACATATATATCAAATTTATACATTTTTTATTAGTTTATATATCGACCTTTTCATATAATAGTTACAACAAGTAACAGTAGTGTCATTTTTTTAAATGATTTAATAATTAATTTGTTTAGAAGTTTTAAAACTTAAAACTCAATCACAAAATATTTAGTATTTAAAATAACATTATATATTAGAGCACAAAATAAAATAAGCTATTAAATATGTTTTTTTATAGTTTTCGGTGAAAAATGTAATATTAATATTGACATTTGTACTCAAGATGGACTGATAGCGCGAGCCTAAGGTTTTCATAAAGCATGAGAATCAAGTAAATTGTTGAATGCTATCAGATTAATTCCATTGTTTCATGCTCTCATCGTCTCTTGAAGTTTCTGTCGTATTGTTTAATATTGTTTTCGGGTTGCTTTCTTTTCTTTTTTTTTTTCTTTTTTTTTTAATTGTTGAAGCCAACTACTCTTTCGAAGTTATTGTCGTTTTTCTAGCTGATGTCTTCTCTCTCTCTTTGTAAAAATTTTATTGTCGTTTTTCTACTTGTAAAAGTCCAACTACTCTTTGGAGGTTGTTGTCGTTTTTCTAGTTGATGTTTTCGTGTTAAGTAATGTACCTATTAGTTTGTCTTGCTCATGATAATATATGTTTTCCAGTTCACCTTTTTTCTTTTCGAGGTCCTAGTCGTTTTATTCATTGATTGTCATTTTCGCTGCCCTTTTCTAAGTTTTTGTCGTTTTCCCTGTTATTGTCCTCTTCGTTACAGAAACTTTCCCATTCTTGTCGTTTTTCTATTGTCTTTTCTCTAATATATATATATATATATATTGGATAATTGGACGCATTTTCTCTAATATGATTGTTTCAGTTAATGTTGGTAAAATTTTACGGTAATATTGTTTTCTCAGTTTATGTTGTTTTCAAAGTCAACTTCTTTGTCACAAAAAATATGTTTTCCACGTTCGCCTCCTTTTTGAGATAATGACATTTTCATATTTTCTATATACATATTGTTAGCCGAAATAGTATGGATATAATACAAAAGAGGAACAAGTTAAGGAAGAACAAAACCGAAATTCATACAATTGTAATTCAACCTTTTTACCAAAACTCAGAAATGGAAATTGCAAGAATGTCGAGGCACGTGGAGCACGTTTTCCTTAAAACAGATTCGTCCCCTCCGGCGTGTGCTTGAGGTCACGTTGGACGTCCGTCTCCCAGGATACAACGACAACAACGACGGTAGCTCAATACACTTTCGGAACCGTCCGGCGAACTCGAACTAGATCTTCCCTCTATCACGAAAAACAGAAGTAACAAGAAAAAACCACAAAGACTTCCGAAACAAGAGAGAAACCAAGAGAGAGGAAGTGATTTCTGAAAATTTCTGTGTCTTCAAATGGGTGGAGAGGGCCCTTTATATAGGCTCCAAAATCCGGGTGTTACACCATGACATTATGGTATATAAATCCGGATTTATTCTCGGATTAATGGTGCTTAATTCAGAGGTTACAGCCCCTGAAGAACCTAGTCCAATGTATGTCTTCATTCGGAAGTTAATTGTCCATTAACCAACCAATAATGTAGGTTAATGCTGCAGTTTTCCCAAATCCCCACACTAATGCAGAGTTAAACAAAAACTAATGCAGCAGTTTCGGATTTCTGATGGGAAAAATAAAAAAGAAAAATCGCAAAATGTAGCTTGCATGGAGCGGGTTTTCCGATCTAGCATTCATGTCCGCAGGTCGCGAGTGCACATATTAGGCCCCAACCTGCCGGGATTGTGATTTACTCCTAGCCAATGTGGGACTTTTGTAATTTTCTTCTACATTTACCATTCCAAGTAACATACTTAGACCATCAATTTCTCATTCACCCAAAAACCATTTTGAGTGTATGAATACTCAATTTCGATCTCCTCGCGACGGAGAACTCAAATCAATTGAGACCCGTCCCAAAAACCTATTGGGCCCCATCTGAATATGGGCCTCAAAATGGACCTTTAAAATGGCTTAACAAGCCATTTTTCCAACACACACACACATATATATATATATATATTTTTTTTTTTTTTGCGTCGGTTAATTGTTATTGTCGTTTTCCCGGTTTATCTCGTTTCAAACGAATTCTTGACCTTCTTCTAGTTAGTCAGCTGCTGCCTTTTTGACATTGATGATGTTTTTCTAGTTTCTGTTGTTATCTGTATTAATCCGGCTTCTAATGTCGCCGCCGTATCTCAATTTCCGTTTTCCCTTTTGGTCTTCATTATAATGTCGTCTTCCTGTTACTTGTTTTCTAGATAGTCGCTTACTCTTTTTTTTTCCTCCTTTTTTTTTGAGGTTTCGTTGTTTTCTTTTATTGATCAGAATTTCAGGTTTTGATCGAAGTGAGAAAAACAAAACCACTTCTTTCCACTGGCATATCAACTAATGAGGCAAGCTGACAGCTTTTAAAATGTATATTGTGTCATTTGATCTTATTTAATCTAATATAATGAGGCAATGACAGAAGGAACAGCTTTCTTTGCTCAAATCACCATGCTAAACTCTGCAAACACGTTTTTAGAGAACTTTCATTTTGCCAATGAAATTTTTGCAATGCACGAGTGGCATTGATACCGCCATATTGGAAACAAGAAATCGGCAATCAGCATCGTATCCGGATCAGTGTTACGAAAAATGCGAACACAAGTGCACATATCGTTGTCAAGTAATAATTTCGTGAATATTAGTATTGTCCCACGAGGAGTGATCGATATTAGCTACCGAAATTGTGTTAACCTTAACTTTATTTGAACAAAATCGAAATAGGAGAATTTTTATGAAAATTAAAATAACAAAAACAAAAATAAAACAAAACAAAACTCGAATGATGATTAGAGAAAATTCAATGATAGAATGGCTTTAGGGTTTCCGATTTCACCAAGATCAATCAAGTTCCAATCCCCAATTCCCAATCAATCAATGTTTATTCCCATGTTGACAGTGGATTTCTCTAAATTAACGACTAATCTTTCTTAAGCACTAGTAATCCTACCCAGACATGTAAACCACACATCTCTGTCAAGATTTTAACATGTTGAACGCATATTAAGATTAGTTAATCATAATCACCACACTACTCACATAACTATCTCTAGCTTATGACGTTCTAATGGCATTATAATCAATGGTCATGTTTAACTGTCACTTCTCAGTCTCAGAATTAAACTCCAAATCATGCAAAAGTTGGCCAGACATTCACAAGCATTGAGAACAGATTATAATACTTAGCAATATGAAATAAACATCAACTAAATTGAAAATTGGAAATTAAGGAACAATTATGATCCGGCTACATCCTAACCCTAAAAAATGAAATTAGAACATAATGGAAATAGAAAACATCCTAACAAAATGAAATCAACATATGAGAAAGAGGTCTAGAAGAAACTATTTTCAAGAATGAAGGCAAACGCCGTTTCCGGTTGATTCATCTTCTTTGCCATTTTACGGAAGCTTCTCTCCTCTTTCAGCCGTCTAAAAGTCCCCCATAAAACCCTAAAAATCTTTATTTAAACATCTAGGATTCAAAAGGGTAAAATTGGAAACAAAATACGCTTTTTCCTCAATTTCTCGCAGTTGGGTGCCGCAGCACTCCTCAAGTCATCCCACTAGCGCCGCGGCCTTGACTATTGTCGCGGTCCTAATCTTGGTTTTCTAGTGCCGAGGCCTCAATCGCCAATGCCGCAGGGCTCACAATTTCTAAATGCGATCATTTTATATTCTTTTTGTCTCCAATTCATTCCAAATCAATAATCCAGATGCTATCTCCTACAAAACTATAAAAGAAACACAAAAGCAAACTTAAATCTAACACTAAAGACTCAAAAACCAACAAAAATCTAGGATTTAAACATCAAATTCGCGAGTATAAACTCACTCATCAATCAGCATACCTCTGCATCAGACAAGAGAGAGATAGACCAATTGAGCACATTTTTCTTAATAAAACACAATTGTGCACGATGCACACAAATACACAGGTGAACAAAATTTTATAAATATATATATATGGACTTTTTTCGGTCCATCCGGAGGACTGTCCCTCCAATGTAACATTTAGAAGTGTAAAATGTAATATGGTACTTATTCAACGTAACACAGATATTAAAAAGGTGAGATATCAAGATATTTAATTATCTCCGACTATTATTATATCTTTCTAATATCATTATTATGGTAAATAACCAAATTAAAGTATAAGGATATGAACTAGTCAAAGTTCTTAGTGTTATGTCTTTTTAGTGTTCATGTTATGTTAAATAAGTTTTTACTTCCACGTATTACGTTAAAAGAACGGTACCATAGACAAAGCCCATATATATATATATATATATATATATGTATATATATATATATATTCCATAAACTGCACATTTTACTTGGAGTAATTCAATTCGGCTAAAAAAGAGCACTGGATTTGTCCTTCTTACAAGGACACTGTACATAAGCTAGCTCCACAGTTTGAATTCAGAAAACCAACAGCTGGCCTTATTGGTCCATTGGTGGCATAATAGAAGGCAGAAAAATCACACGACTTTGAAATTTTTTTCAGTTTGTATAAAGAAGAAAAATATAGCTTGAAATTGGTAACAAGCATGTAGATGATTCCGTTGGTCTCCTAACACTAAGACAGCCAGCGTAGCATTAATTGCATAAAGCATGTGAGAATCAAGTTTATTAAGATGAACCATAATTATTGCATAATGGTTTTGCTAATCTAGTTTGAGACAATTGGAATCTGTACAGCCTTGGCATTTGATTTAATTTGCAAAAAACATGTGGCATCTTAAACAGAGAAAACTGTGCCAGTATATGCAGGTTCAAGTTGCATGGCAGATTGCCATTTATTAATTTATTGGTCACCTAAGTACTTTAATTTTTTAAGAATCTGTGACTGCCGTAATTTGTGAAATAATTGGTGAACAGTAGAATAATATTAAAGCAAATGCGCCGTAAACTACCATTTAGGCTATGGAAATTATGGATGTAAAGATAGAATATACTGGAAATTGAGACAGGAAAAAAGTATGTAAATTTACTATGGAAGAAAAATGTGCTTTGTATATATTCCATCATTTACATGTATATGTGTAAACATTTTATCTAGCCTATCAAAATTTTAGGTATGCGCCCCCATAGTGGAGCATTACAAACAGAAGTTATAATCTAGTCGTTGAGGATGTTGAGAAGGGAAACTCTGGTTTTGATTAGACGCCTGAAGAGGCACTCTAGTCTTTCTTCAAAGTCTTGAACGCACATCTCTAGAATTTGCAGCTCACTTTGAACCTTCTCGATTTGCATCTTGTGACTCATGAGGCGGTGCATTGCTGCATCCACCTTTGCGAATTCATTTACTTGTTGTTCTTCTTCACAGCCAACTCTTTTGCTGTGCATAATCTTGGAAACTAGAGACCAACCACCAAGCTTAGTTTGCGCCTTTGGCCCGGAAATAAAGGACAACAAAGACTCAAACACGGCAAGAGTGACAACTTCCACCTCTTTTAAGACGCTAATCAAGGCTATGGTTTCGCCGTCTTTGTTGGAGAGATCAGAGAATGAGCTTTTAGTTTCGACACTCTTTAAACTCCCCAAGGCCTTATTGAGTGCCCTCTTCACCACTTTCCTAGAGGCCAAGTACTTGCTGATCTCACTTTCAAGTCCAACTTCAGCCCCTCGTCTTCTGTGCATGATTGATTGAATGTCGCGTGCACATTCCTTTGTGTGCAACACAGCATCCTTAGCCGAGCTGCACAAATCCAAAAGCCTAAGAGAGCCATCCACCAGTTGGTCAATCCATTGCTCTTGGCGGCCTTGGACAAAGGCTTGTTGAGTGGAGGGGAATAGAAGCAACTTTTCAACACATTCGTGCAAATCCTCAAGACCACTTAGTTTTTGGGTAATAAAAGAGGATGATGAAGTTGCACCACAAGCCTCCAATCTGCTCAAATTTTCGTTGCATTGTAGAAGAAGTGGGTTTGATTGGGAGGGTAAGCTGTTTGAGCGAACATGGAAGTGGCAATTTGACGCAGCCATTCTTTTCTTTCTCAAGAAAGAGAGAAACGTTGGCCTTTCAAAGTGAGTTTGCAATTGATTAGTTTTGCCTTGTTGTTCTTTTGTCTCAAACTCTATGTTTATATATATCATCAGATGAGGGAGAGTTTAAGCATTTTATTATTCAAATGACAACGCATAATGACATTTGTGGTTCAGATTTGAATCTGAACAATAAATCACCGATATTCACGCAATGTTCCCCGACCACCACTTATATTATAGCTCCAACTCATTTGGTCCATTATATTAAGTTGTAAAAATCTTAGAGCATCTTTTCATTAGTTATATACATATTGTACATGCAACAAGCTGAGTGAACAACAGAGGGCAATTGTCGTTCTATCAAACTCATAAATGGAAGTTATAAAAAAATTATTAATTAATTGAAATCCTATGGCTCTTAAAACTTGATTGTTGTGGACAGAACAGGCAAGATGTTCAGTTCTTTTATGCACCTCTGTCTCTAAAACATATACAAAAATGATCTGGTGGTGGGGTTTTTTTTTTCCCCCTTTTTTTTTTAATGGATCTATAGTGGCTGTTAGTAGTAGGTCAATGAATTGAATTCTAATGATAATGTGCACGTTGTAATTTGTTCAACTTAAAGACAGCAAACAACTGAAAATTAAACGACAAGTCGTTTTCCAAAGTAAAAGGACAAGAAACTTGTAAAAGATGTTATACGCCAGCAAGTTTTAGTCATGACTAGATGCCTTTTTCACATAAACGACAGAAAAATTTAAAACGCACACAACATATCTTTTCAGTGTGGCAACAAACCAGAACGTTCTCATGGAGCACTGCAAACTTCTAAAAAAACAAATAAAATGTTAGGAAGATCCTCACACAGACTCAAAGATTTACACAAGAATCATTCAAAGAAAGAAAACAGAATGTTTTACCGAGGTTCGGATTCAAAGAATCATATGTCCCCGTTGGGCTCACTTGCGAGAAACCCTTTCCACTAGTTAAGAATTGATTTCAGCCTCAATCCTCACCACTCTCAGAGATTACAAAGCAAAAACAACCCAAAAAAGAAAACTGTACAGAAGAGACCCAACCACTATCGTGGCTCTCAGGAAAAATACCCAGTGAGTAAATCAATCTCTTTACTCAGATTTTCCTAGTACCCAAACGCAAGGCACAGATCTCTCAATACACCACAGTTTCTCTCACTTGTTTCTCTCTCTAGAACTCTCTCTGAAAAATCCTAAAAGATGAATCACCTTCTGTTCTCATGTTCTAATGCGAAGAAGAAGGAGATCTATTGATATTCTAGAATTCTCTCCACTGACACTTGCTTCTCTACGTGTCACTCGTTGAGTGGTGCTTCTAAATACTACGCTGCGTTTTATTAAGTTGTTGAACAACCAAAACGACAGCAAACATATATATAATCAATTCTTCATGCTGTCATTTTTTAGGAATTACTCCTTACAACATTCCACCTTAATTTCTGAAAGACGACGGTGACGATTAACCCTGAGCTTCTCGCAAAGTTCATTGCCCTGAGTTGATATAATCAAGTCTTGCCGATGCTCAGCTAGTTCAGATACTTCTGGAAGTTGCTTGCAGTGACAACCTTAGTAGCCATATCTGATGGATTTTCTTTTGTGCTAATCTTCTCAAGCTCTATTGACCCTTCTTCAACCTTTTCTCGTATGAAGTGGTGTCGTACATCAATGTGCTTTGTCTTTTCATGATACACTGGATTCTTACAGAGGTGAATTGTTGATTAAATGTCTGAATAAATCACAACAACTTCTTTCAATACTTTCAGCTCCTGTAACAGACCATGAAGCCATATAACCCCTTTAAAACCTTTTGCCCCAGCTATATAGTCTGATAAGGTGCTTGATAAAGCAACTACTGATTGTAGTTGTGACTTCCAGCTAATGTCGTTCCCTCCTAGTGTCATTACATAAGCTTAAGTAGACCTCCTCTTGTCCAAATCCCCAGCAAAATCAAAATATACAAAGCCTTCCAAGTTCAAAGGGTTAGAACTTTGTTAATAAATCAAACCATAATTCAATATACTATTGACATACCTCAAAACCCATTTTAGTGTTGTCCAATGTTATTGTCCAGGATTAGACATGTATTTGCACAAAGCATTTACTGTATTAGCTAAATCATGGCATACATTAATGACCATACAACACTAGAATATGGAATCTTGGCCATTTTAAGCTTTTCTTCTTCTGTTTATGGAGACTGTTTTGCAGCCAATGATACTTTAATAGATTTAGATTGATGCATAGAGAATTTTTTAACAACCTTTCTTAAATACTCTTCCTAAGACAGATACAGAAGTTTCTGTTTTCGGTCTCTTTTAATATCAATTCCTAAAATTCTCTTTGCATAACCTAAATCCTTCATATCAAATTCAGTACTTAACATTTTCTTTGCCTCATCAATGTTTGCTAAGTTCTTACTGGCAATCAGCATATCATCTATATAAAGTAGAAGATATACTGCATTGTCAGTATTAGTCTCCTTAAAATACAAGCAGGAGTCATATTGACTCCTAATAAAGCCCGCTTTAATCATATGTTGATCAAACCGCTTATACCATTGTCTAGGGGATTGTTTCAGCCCATATAGCGATTTTCTCAATAAACATACTTTATGTTCACTACCTTTTACCTCAAAACCCGGTGGTTGATTCATGTAGATTGTTTCCTTGAGGTCACCATGTAGGAAGGCAATTTTTACGTCCATCTGTTCTAGATGCATGTCTCTGTAAGCAACCACTGAGAGGATTATTCTTATGGTCTTATATTTTACAACTGGAGAGAAGACTTCAGTGTAATCAACCCCCTCAACTTGAGTAAAGCCTTTTGTAACCAACCTCGCCTTGTACCTCCTGGGTTCTTGTGATGTGGCTCCTTCCTTAAATTTAAAAATCCATTTGCAATCCACTGCCTTTTGTTTCTTTGGCTTGTCCACTAAAACCCACGTATTATTTTTCATCAAAGAGTGCATCTCCTCCTTCATGGCCGCCAACCATTTGTTGGCATGTGTGCTGTTGACTGCTTCCTCATAAGATTTGGGTTCTATTACTTCTATTTCTCCAGCCATATTCAGCGCGTAAGCAATCAAATTGCCACCATCATAGCTCTTTGGTGGTCTTATTGTTCCCCTCTCCCTATCTCGAGTCAGCATGTATTCTGACACACTTTCTGGGGGTTCTTATGTGTGTTCAATGAGACTTTCATCAGTGGTAGCTTGCGACTCTTCCGTGGTTTGTTGTAGATATTCGGGTTCAACTTCATCATCTTGATGTCCAGTTCCTCTAATTTGTTCCACCTCAACTTTGAGGTCTTGTTTTGAAGTTGTACCTGCATCAAGTGAAGGAGAGCCAGTAGTATATTTTCCCTTTTTCAAGTAAGGCATGCCATATTTATTAAAAATTACATCTCGGCTATTAATTATTTTAAAATGAGGCCCTTCTTGAACACATAGTCTATAACCCTTAACACCTTTAGGATAGCCTAAAAATATGCATTTTACTGATATGGGATCTAGTTTCCATTCTCTTTGGTGTGCATAGGCAGCACAACCAAAGACCCTAAGGTTACTTAGGTTTGGTGGTTTTCCAGTCCAACATTTTTCAGGGGTTTTAAGGTCAATAGGTTTACAAGGGCTCCTATTAATTAGGTCACATGTTGTAGTTACAGCTTCCACCCAGACTTTCTTACTTAGACCCGATCCAAAGAGCATACACCTAACACGTTCCATTAGTGTTCTATTCATTCTTTCGACTATCTTGTAGGGTTGTTTTGACCGTTCTATGTCTAAGGATATCATTTTCTTTACAAAACTAGGTAAAGATATCACGACAAAATTCCCTGCCATTATCTGTCCTAAGGGCCTTTAGTTTCTTACCAGTTTGGTTTTCTACCAAATTTTTTAATGCTTAAACTTAGTAAAACATTCATCTTTGGTTTTTAATAGAAAAACCCACACCTTCCTAGAATGATCATCAATAATAGAAAGAAAGTACCTGACATTACCATGTGTTTGTGTTGATTCAGGCCCCCAAAGATCAGCATGAACATAGTCCAATGGAGACTTTGTCCTAAATGTTGATGCAGCAAACTTAAGTCGGTGTTGCTTTCCTAGGACACACAGCTCACAGAAGTCAAGCTGGTCTACCTTGCATTTGCCCAGAAGTCCTTGTTTACTGAGTTCTCTTAGCCCCCTTTCACTAACATGCCCAAGGCATTTATGCCACAGATCAGCCTCTGAGTTTTCTTTAATTACCGCACTAGTTGAACTTGTTACTGCATGGTTACCTTGAATCTTCGGTGACTTCTTCATAATCTTGAATCTTGATATTACACCCTTAATCCTCGCCACTCTCAAAGATTACAAAGTAGAAACAACCCAGAAAAGAAAATTGTACAGAAGAGATCCAACGACTATCGTGGCTCTCAGGAAAAATACCCAGTGAGTAAATCAATCTCTTTACCCAGATTTTCCTAGTACCCAAATGCAAGACACAGATCTCTCAATACACCACAGTTTCTTTCACTTGTTTCTCTCTCTAGAACTCTCTCTGAAAAACCCTAAAAAATGAATCACCTCTTGTTCTCATGTTCTAATGCGAAGAAGAAGAAGATTTGTTGATATTCTAGAATTCTCTCCACCGACACTTGCTTCTCCACGTGTCACTCGCTGAGTGGTGCTTCTAAATACTACGTTGCGTTTTATTAAGTTGCTGAACAACCAAAACGACAACAAACATATATATAATCAATTCTTCATGCTGTCATTTTTCAAGAATTACTCATGTTGACGGTGAAAACTCGTCAACAGAAATAGGCCGGGTCACCTCTAGGTATCCCGTTGGATTACCGGCTTGATATTGACTATATACTCAGTTTATGGAGTGAAGTGTTTGTGATATTTTTTGAGTGGTGAGCAATATAAGAAAAATATGCTTAAAGTAGAAGAACACACGAAATTTATAGTGG